TAAATAAGCCCAGTTCTCTCAGCCTTTCCTCATAGGGGAGATGCTCCAGTTCCCTTACTGCTTCAACAGTTCTTGCCTGTCCATCAGCTGAAAATCCAAACAATAATAAACTGGTTGTCCTTTTGCTTCAGTGACCGAGTGCTCTGCTTTTTAGTGTGAGAGAACAGTTGCTGGTGGCCAGTTTCCTTTTCTTGACTCCATTCTAATTTTTATTTCCTTTTTTGATCTTGAATCTTATGAAAAAGTTTGAAAGCAGTTTTGGTTTTTCACAATTCAGTTTCTAAAGAGCCTGATGTGTCACAGCAGATAGGATAGACTTTTAACATAAGTCATTTCTCTTGGCAAGTGAAGCTTTAGAAGCTGTTAAGTTCAGAAGGCTCACTACTTCATGCATAATTAAAGCACATTAAGTTTTGGTTAGTGATTTGGTTATCAAGTTTCACAATTTGTGGTCTCTTCTGCATGACATGTAGACAGCTCGTGGATGCTTTGAGAGTGTACAGTGTTCGTGCATAAGCAGCTGCAATAGTTAATTACAGTGATTGTTTAAAAACCTTGCACCTGTTTCTAGTTTCATATTCTAATTAGGTCTATTTGTTTCTTGCTGGCAAAAATAGTCTAATCACAGATTCTTTTAATAATAATGCTTGTTTTAAAGAAGCTACTGCTGTAGTTCCATTATACTTGGACCTCTGTTTTGAGATTTTAGAATAAGCCATTTAGGTGACTAGAAGGATGCAGCAGCTTTCTGTCAGGCAAGGTTTTTTGAGATTTACTCAAAATGCTCTCTGTATTTTAAGAGTTTTCTTACGTTGCCTAGAAGCAGGGGGCGGGGCGGGTAGTTGGAAAGGGAAACTGTTTGACACATTTTGGTATACGTGTTTATGCTGGGATTCTTTCCAATCTCATATTTTTAGATTGATCCTTTCTGAGGTCTCTTTAACTCTGAGTATTTGAATGTAGTGTTATCTACATGCATTAAACTGTTGCTGACTCTTTCTTGTGCTGGATGGGGAGCTTGTTGGTGTTTGGTTGTGACTTGGGGGAGGGGGTGTGTGTCAGCTGCTTACACATTTCCAATCTTCTCATTCCCTTAACTTTATTCTGTATTTTCACTTAGTTCTTGTTGCTTAGGAACTCAGAAGAAACATGTGGTATTGGTATTTAGGGGTGTGATTTTTCTTCCAGTAAGGTCATATTCTTGAATATATTTGGTAAAATATGTCTTCAGCTGGAACGCAGAATATGACATTTCTTGTAGCTCTTGCTGTCCATTATCGGTGATTGCATAGAGAGAAACTGTCTGCAGAAGCAGCTCTTGTACCATCTCCTGTAAACTCCCTCAAATACCTGTTGACCTTTCTCTTCATCTTACTGTTTTCTTATGTTTGTCTCAAAATGTCACTTCCTGGAAGACTTGGAGCTGAGCATACAGTTAGCGCTAGAATTTTTCATCTCTATTGAGTCTCTGTGTATTTGCTTCAAACACTTAGGTATTCTGCTGAGTGACTGAAGGAAAGTAGTCTGTCATTCAAACTTCCTTAATGACTCTAATTGGATTATAGTGCTGTAGAAATCAACAGCTTTTGTATGTTTATATAGCAGTTCCTGCAGTGTGAGTTCAAAACTTGTTTTCCAGTTTATGGCTGTTTCATGCCATTTGAATCTAGAAATAGATGAAGGTTGGTAGAGTGGTGGAGCTTTTATTGCTACTGTTGTATGCAGCACCTGGGACTGAAAGATTAAAGGAAAGGTAAGGACAAAATCCTTGTGGCACTTGCAAAAATCATGAAGGAGCACAAAGCACATCACTGACTCATTTTTGTGAGTCAGACTCACTATAACTACTCAAACATCATTAATCTTTTTCATATAGGGGGATCATATTTGAGGAAATGCATGTTAATCATGAGTTTTACCAAAACCAGTTCCATCTATGAATAAAGCACACTCATTGTAAAGCATCCCTTCAAATTAGGTTAGTGTGGATGTACTGTGAACATCTTTTTATTAAGGTCTGAGATAAATTGTTACCCTGTTTTTCTAAAAATTCAGTTTTTTCAGTGGTGGTTGATCCTTTGCAAAAAGAATGTCAGCATCTATTAACAAAATGTTAGTGATCTAGTCAGAAGGTAAAGGCTGTCACTTGCCTTCGGAAACTGAGTTTTGAAAATGAGAACTGTACCTCCAAAATACATTATCCCCACGCTGAAGTATATTGATACTTAAATGTTCAGTAACACTTCCTATTTCTTATTCTCTGTAAGCCATCTCTTTGGCTCCCGTACAGCATGCTGTCTCTTGGTGAGAACATGACTGTGGGGAGTGATGTCTTGTTCTGGCGACCTGATTCTCAGTCCCTCTGGCTGCATCTTACACAGAGCCCTCTGCTAGCCTTGGAAAAGCTTTCCAAACTGCAGATCTATGGTTTCACATCTTTCAGTTGATATAAATTTTCAGCTGCATTTGTTACTGAATTGAGCACATTGCTGCCACATTAGAGTGCGAGTAACTTTTACAAGAATACAAGAAAATTTTATTTTCCCCCATAAATGGGTCATAGTAGAAGTAAAAGTTATCCTAAGTGGTATTACTTGTGTTTTCTCTCTTTAGAATAGTCTTTTGCCACTTTGAAAGTTGTTTCTTTGCTCTACAGTTGAGGGAGAGAAGGACTGTTACTGTTCAACAGTGTTAATGAGCTTGGATTTGATAGTCAAAGTGAGGAGCTCAGTCCTTCAGTTTTTTTGTTGCTTGGGAGAAATACGGATGTGACGTGGGTCATATGAGAAAAGCAGCTGAAGAACTTCAGTTTGAATGCCTTTCAGTGCATCTGTTAAAACATTGCATTGTATTTCTGGTACTGAAATATTGGAAGGTAATAATGCTACTGTAATTTTTTTAAATGCAAACCTAATAGCACTTAAGAAAATTGTAAGGGCTAATAGAAGACTGTTTATGTAACAATGCATTTTGCTGAGACCATTTATGTTATAGTACCATGGTTTTCCCCCTGCATGCTATGCACATCGGCCTGTAAACTGGGAAGTTTTTTGGATGACATCAAGTTATGTCAGACTTTGTCAAATTGAGAATAAAATGTGTGCCTAAAAAACAAAGTCTCTATTTGAGCTTTTGGGCCCAAGCTAAAGACTGGAGCAAAGAGGTGCATAAATTTTAACTTAAAAATATACTGGATGTGTATGAGATAGCAGTCAGGGCTAGTGCACCGGGGATGAACTGTGAATTTCTGGAACTAAAAGCTTGATTTATTGCACTTCGACTTAAAATCAGTCCTCCTTAGGCAGAGGACTGTAACAGTCCTAAACCTTGCACAAAATGGACCAGTCTGGTGGGATTGATCTGATGCTATACAGTATCATAACTCCATGCAAGGTATTCATTATTAGCTTCATTCTTTGCCCTTTTTTGTAAAGGTGAAACAGTGCTCTATAATACATCTTGATCTGTGAGATTAATAAAACCAGTTCTGTTATACTTGCAAACCTCAGTAAGATCTGTCTATATCCCCAAATGTTCCAACACAGCACCCCAACAAGTTACTTAAAATTTGTTTTAATCTCTGGAAAATCTACAGTTTATCATAGACTTTGTCAAATACTTTTAATAACCTTTGTAGGAAAAAATCCCAATTTAAATATGTAGGTACATTCCTATTTTTGTTGCCAATGTTTGGCTAACAGTTGTCAATCTTGTGTTTGTTTATTTTTTCTGTCAGCTTTAGGTTGGCTTTTAATTGCAGTTGGACTAGATGATCGCTGTAGGTCCCTTCCAACTGTACTCTTCTATTCTAATTCTCACATATCAAATGGTGGTTGCTCCTTTTCATCGGTACGTTTTCAGTTTACTGGAAAAAACACTTGATATGGGTCAAGTGGCTCAGTTCCTCCTGAAAGCAGTTAGGCCAAGCTTGATATGTTGCTTGCTGCTTGCCTTCTTTCCTTTCCATTATCCACCATCTTCTCCTTAATGCTCTTTGAGGAAAAAGTATTTTTGCCTGGGGGAGGAAACAGGGAGGGAGTGTGTTTTTGTAAATAGTGCTTGTTTTAAATCCCTACAACTATTTTGGCTTACATTACTCATTGAGCAACTCTGTATTTTAAAGAAGCTTGAAAAGGTTGTGCTATATTGAGTCCAAAGTGTATTTCTCTGATGAAATATTTTAGGACTGGAATGGGACATTTTGTCTGTTAGAATAACCTCTTGTTTAACACCAGATTTTAAAACAGCACGCTTCATTTTGTGTGTGAATCTCAAAACTTCTACTGATCATTAAAGATCACGATGGAAGATTGTGCTTAGGACCAAGATGATGTTGGTTTTGTTGACTGAGTTTCAAAATTGTACTTTAGTAAAAGCTCTTATATTCCTAAATGATTTTATAATTAACTCTGCTTTTAACTTGTGAGGTTTATGGGCCGTACTGATTGGAACAATGAGTTCTGAATTCAAGACAAAACATAGTGTGGTGGGGGTTTGCAGCTCTTGTAGCTCATACCTCATTGGTAATAAAAGGAGAGGCTGCAATTTTTTTTTGTAGTGGTTACTTCAGATCTTGACAAGTTGTGTACAATGTATTTATTGTGCAGAACTTGAGGAAGAGCCCTTCTTATTTTTTTTTAAACTGAATGATTGCTAGCTGTGCCTCTGCACGCATCCTGTAGTTGAAGTACAGGATGTAGGGCTTTTCCTCTCTTAAATTCTTCAGTAGACGAGCAAAGGTGCTGAGAAATAATGTACAAAACACCATGATAACATTTTTCTACAATAGCATTGCTGATGTGCGCACTGTTCTTCTTTTGGGGTTCATGGCAAAAATAGTGTAGGATTGTGCATGAACCTAATTCAGTAAATTTGTTTGAATCATTAGAATTACTTAAGAGTAAACCGATTTGGGATGTAGCTTCTGTTTTGAAGCTGTAGTTTGATTATAAGCAATGTGTTTTTAGTAATGAGATGCTGACTAGCATTTGTGTCTCTAGAGAAGAAGAGGAACGTCTGAGAAATAAGATCCGAGCAGATCATGAAAAGGCTCTGGAAGAGGCTAAGGAGAAATTGAAGAAATCGCGTGATGAAATTCAAGCTGAGATTCAGACAGAAAAGAACAAAGTAGTGCAAGAGTTGAAAAAGAAAGACAGCAAGCCACTGCCCCCTGTTCCTTTACCAAATCTTATAGGGATAAACAGTGGAGAACCAGCAGACCCGGATATCCGAGAGAAGAGGAACAAAATTAAAGAGGTAAAGATGATGATGTGGTCCTATCCGTTCTTCTATCTGATAGCAGTTATTTATATGGCATTTAGTTGCTGTTATTTATATAAAAAAGAAAAACAGGACTACAAATCTTTTTAATAAACAGTAAGCTAAAAGTGCACATCAAATGTTAATGAACAACAGCATTATTACATGTTTTTTTCCTGGTGGTGGGGTGTTAATATTTATTTCACTGGATAATGACTTAAAAAATATTTTAAGCATTTCTTCAACTTACTGGTATGGGTTCAAAGTGAGTTTGTCATTAACATATGGAACAGCACCAAGTGCATCTTTAAAGCAAAGCCTGACTGTCAGGTTCCATTCAAAGAACTGGATATGCTAGTGTGTCACAAGATATTTTTAAATGTTTAAAAAGTGGACTGAAAAGATAGAAAAAAATAAAACAACTTGCTGCTAAAATTTTCTAATTAACAAACTATCACATACTTTTCAAAATGAGTTTGAAATGGGTCTAAAAAACTTGGAGTTCATTTAAATAGATTGCCTCATTTACCTGTAAAACATTCAAACTAAGATGTTGGCTTAGGCTTTTCGTTCTGTGCAGATTATGCTATGGGAATTGCTGTTCCTGGTCTTATCCTTTCCACTCCTGGCTGGCTGTGAGATTCATTGCCCTCTTTTGCCCTGGCAATGCCAATTTCCACTTAATATTGCCAGGCATTTTTCTGAGTCTGTAATTCTAACTACTATGGCAGAAACATTGTACAGCCTTCTTTCTTCTTTCCCCAAATCTCATTAATTTTATGCCTAAAAATCGGATTAGTAAGCGGGAATTGTTCAGACCAGAGGTAGACAAGCATAGGCTCTGTAATTAAAGAACATCCAAGACCGCAGCACTTAGCTACATCAGTTAAATCTTCTTTTAAATTGTAATCTGAAATTAGTTAGCTCATAAAACCCCAAACAAAAGTAAGTCAGTCATACACCTGTCCTTGTAATAGGGAGGGGTTGCAGCTGGAGTATGTGCCGTACTGTGGGTAGATCACCCAAATTGGAATTTTACTTTGAATAGTAATGATGACTAGATAAAATCCACTCTTATCAAACAATGAACAACTACTTATGATGCATGGAGCTGTATCACTATTTGAATCTCACAAGTAATAAATCCTTCCCCGGAATGTGTGCCTATTCTGATAGTGACTACTGCAGATGCACTTTTGGCTGAAGTTGCGTGTGGAATATTGGATCCCCTTGATCCTGCTTGGTTAGGGCTATTTCCCAAAGGACAGCACTGAATTGTGCATTTCAAACGGCTCTATGGCTTTTCAAAACTGTGTCCTCAAACATTTTCAGTGAGAAAATACAGAGAATTTTGCTTTTCAAAATGCCTTCTGAAGGGTGAATGCTATGGTCATGTAGTTGTTGACACTTCTTAAATTTTATCTACAGTTTACTGTATTTAAATACCTTTGAGTTTGCCACTGATTGATTTAATGGGTAGAATAAAATTGAGCTGACTGAGTAATGTGAAAGTACTAAGCACAGCTAACAATGAAGAACTAGCTGGAAGAAATAATCAGCTAAAGATCAAGCCTGGAATTGGAGGGAGGGATGAAAATTAGTATTTGCATTTCTGAGGTTGTTTTGTCAGAATGTAGGCTCTGAGAGGAGATGAGAAACTATAGGTTAATACAGAATGGCAGTTTTCTTGGTGACATGGATAAGTAGTAAAATCTGAACAATTCTTGCTGATCTAAATCTGAAGGTGTAGCAATTTGTGGGTAAGGAATCCAGTGTAGTTTAACTAATGGCTCTGGTGATCCCTAGTTGCAGTTGCCACAAATCCTAGGCTTACTCCCTTTTTTTGGTGATCAGCCTATGTGTGAATCACACTGACAAGCTGGGGGTTTTATTGCATAACTTGTTAATGACTCCTATTGTGGTTTCTGAAGTGTAGCTTTTCACAGCCAGACCAAAGATTTGATGGGACTGTGTATTAGGTGGGTAAATGCTTCAGTTAGGGTAATCCTACCTTTGTAGCAAACTTCAGCAGTGTGACCACTGTGCTTGAACAGTCCAGGATCATACTGGCATGACTGAACTTTCTGTCTTTTGTTGTGTGAATTGCCTTCATTGTCTCAGTATTGTTAGTACTGGAGCTATCAGGTGATCTCCAGAATTGTTAAATTCTTTGATTTAGGGCAGCAGATCATCACTTCTATGGCTAGGTGTGTGAAGGGATAGCATACAGGAGTGGAAAGTCTGCTAATGGGAATGGGTAAATGATAAAGCTGAAGAACCCATTGTTGGCGTGTTGTCCCTTTTGTTTGGCCTCTGTGTCTATTTCTGGATTTTGGCATCTGATATGTTGCAATTAATATAACATGGCTGATATAAAACATATATCAACAGTAGATGAATATTTTGCCTGAAACCTGTTTTTGACAGCATCAGATGTATCACAGAAGGCTGCAGCGATTCCAGAGATGCAAAGTGCATTCTGAAATGCACTATGATAGTTGCCGAGGTCTTCTCTCACTGCTTTTTGTAACCGGTGTAGACAAATACAAATAGTATTCATAGGTGAGATAGAGACTTAGCAAAAATAGAACAAGTTCTAGGAGACAATATCTCTAACATAGGTCTACACCTAGCTTATGTAGCGTTTCTGACATGCAAGACACTATGGTTGCCTGGATTGAGACCAAAAAAATAGCACAGGGAAGCTGCTAGCTCTTTGGAGGCTGCATATCTAGCTCCAGAATTCCAGGTCGTCCTGAAAGGGCATTTGGTTTGTGCCTTGTTAACTTTGAAGTGTCCTGATGCATATGTGAGAAACTTCATTCTCTCAGAATCACTTTAGACTGCTTAAATTCACAAAATGAATGTATACAGCCTATTTTGCCTAGTATCAAATGGTGAAAAACTGTGTAGAAGTGAGCTACGTGTTGTAATATGCACATGGCTCTGCAATTGGGAGAAAGAATGGAAAACTTTCAAATGGGGATCTTGTTTCTGTCATTTTTACAGAAAATTTATTACTACCTTTTCTTTCCAAAAAACAACTTGGTGAAGTCTTTTTTTAAGATCTTTCCATAAAAAGTGGTTTTGCAGTACTTAAATATTTTAAAAACACATACTTTGATTTTTTTTTTTAAAGTGCATATAAAAGTAAAAAAAGTTGTGTAATGCTCTTAAGAGAGCTTTGTAAAGCATTTGAAAGCTTTATATAAGAAGAATGTTTACTGAGCACAGAGAGGGAGGCTTCTTAAGGTCATGGAATAAACCAGGAGCAGAATCTGCATCTCTTGGTGGTGGGTTTTTTTTTTCTTTTTTTCTTTGGTTCTGATATTTATATTTAGTGTTACATTGTATTCTCAATTGTAACACATTCACAGAATTGTATAATTTGTCTATATTCTTCTAACAAGCTATTAATTCAGTTATTTCAATAAGGACTATTTATGAGTTCGCTGATTATTTTAGATGCACAGTAACAACTTTGAGAAGTAAAGCTTTTGCACCTGCTTACCATACATGCTTTGTAGCACTTTTCTAGTATATTAGCTTGGTTTTCTGGCTTTTAAAGATGCTATGCTTTTTAATTAGCTAGTATTTTAAGAATAAAGAGATCTGAAAATTATTCTTGTTGCTACACTTCAGCTTTGTACTACTGTTTCAGTGGGCTTTTTTTTCCATACTAAGTAAAAGATGAGAAAATGGTTTTATAAGAGGGTAGATGCAATTTGTATAGTTTTCCAAAAAGATTTTAAGATGCGTCTTTTTATTGTGGTTAGTACAAAGAAATGAAGAACAAAACTCATCTTCTGGAACTCATTGACTTCCTTTCCAAGTTAAATTAGATAAAAATTGCATGAGTACTGGGAATTTTCAGCACTTAATTTCCATTATTATGTCCTTTAAATGGTGTTCAGAATATTATTTTTCTGTAGTTTAAGTGTAATCATTACAGATATTGCTTTTTTTTTTTTAAAAAATTAGTTTTGTTTCCTCAAGGAGTTAAATTTTACCCAGTCAAATAAGGAAAACTTCATTATTCTTTTCACCCTACTTGAGGTGCAGGTTTTCTTTCATTTAAGTCTAAGATTTCATGGTATTGCCTTACTGCCAGCATTCATTTCGGGTACTGATTAAAATAGAGTATTTCACCCAATAATAGTACTAATGCCATGCAGGATATTCTATATATATACACACACCTTGTTCTAAACATTTAAATGTTAATTTTGAGGTCTTGGATTGTTGGAGTCCAGAGGTCTTGGAATGTTGGAATTATGGATCCATGTTTTACATACAAGTCAGTATGTATTGTATTACATCCACTATTGGTTTTGCATTCTTACTGACTACAGGCCTCTGGGGACGATTGTCGGGGACCTGGGGGCCTGGTTAGTGGTCTCCTTGATCCCGGCAGCAAGGGGAAAGGGTGTGAGGAGGGTGGCACTGGCAATGCACATCAACAGTTGGTTGCAGAGCTTGTGTCAGCAACAGGGTTTTGGGTTCTACAACCATGGGACCCTGTTTGCAAGGTTTCCCTGGGAGAGATGGGATCCACTTCACTAAGGCAAGACAAAGGCATCTTTGCCAGCAGGATGGCTGACCTCATAAGGAGGGCTTTGAACTAGGAATGATGGGAAAGGGAGAGACTAACTAGCAGCCCTGTGAGCAAAGGGCCTGTGGTGATGTGGCAGAAAGGGATCACAAAATCAGCAAAACAGGGCTTAAGCGGGGTCATCTCTCACATTTGCATATACGCAAGGATGTGCCTACAAGACACCACTATGGAGAAATCCCCACAACCCTTCCTGGGAAATTGGCATGCCAGGGTACCTCTCTGAAGTGCATGGTACAACAATGTGTGTGACACGGGGACTAAATATGATGAGTTAGAGATCTGTGTGCATTGGCAGACCTGTGATCTTGTTGGGATCATGGAGGTGTGGTGGGATGACTTGCATGATGGGAGTGTTGCATTGGAGGGATAAAGACTTTTTTAG